TCAAAGAGCGATGGGTTTAAAATATTTCAATCATAAGTGTTAGAAAAGAGGATAATTAGAGAAGAAAAAAACCAAATCCATATGCGGGACAAACAAAATAAGAAAAAAAAAAATGTTCTTAATTAAAACAGTTAAAAGAGTAAAATTGTATTCTAATGATACAATGGATTGTGAACTTGCTTTGTATTAATTAAACTCAATGTGATGGCATTTTCTATATTTAAATGAATAACTAGTGATCTGGAAATTCATTTAGACCATTAGGTTAATTACAGAAACTGATGGAACTTTTATCAGACAATTACAATTAGAGAAGGAGAACAACGTGGGACAGATTTACAAGCATTTGCACCACCGCAATCATATTTTCTGGATTATACCAACACTTCCTGCAAAATTTTAATCAATTAAAATTTAATCAATTAAATTGATTAAAAAGTAGGCTACAAACCTTATTTGCTCTTGGGCATGGTAAAATTGAATAAATGAATATCTTCTTCCTGCATTTTTGTAATTTTTCTTCTTTTTATAATATGAAGTATTTATTTATTTTTATTCAAAAAAAAACATACCAAAAAATAACACTTGTGGAACAAAGAGCATGTGTATATTGATACCAATAGATATGGTAACTGAATATGAAACAAATCTAATATTTAGAAAATGTAACCCCAAACTAGCATCAGTTTAACTCATATTCTCATTGAAGTCAAGATACAATTCTTTTTTCTGGGCATGCAAAACATTTGGGAAATACAGACACTCATCTGTGAATCATAAAGGCATATAGCAATTTACTGTTTTACCATATGTTAGCTATTCATCAATGCAGTGAACTGTCCTCTCATTCATGCTTGGAAAAATATCATAGTAGTTACACACCTGACGGCTCAAGTATCTTTATTTTTAGATGGCACTACAATAAAGTCTAAAAGTTACAAAGATCAAAAAGTTTTGATGTAGAGACATTGAGCTGTCACTGAAATTTTATTAGATTTCATAATCGCTCATTGCTTTCCATGGAACCTGGGCATGCACAACTGCAAGCATTTGAATAATGTGATGCACAGCTGTGGGCTGGCTTCCTTAACCAACTCATGGTGCTTAGTGATCCTGACGATGCTGATGAGCTACTGCAGAACACAAAGAGGTTTTCTACCAGCAGATGTCCCTTTCATTAACGTATAGGGAACATTATCAAGAAAACAAAGCCAGACGATTCAGAGAGGCATCCAGACAAAAGACAAGTTGCAATGAATATAACTTGAAAGATTTCTATTGGAAACAGGTTAAAGGTTTTTTCTTGTTAAAACATTCAGGCATTGAAAAAGATAACCCAGAAAAGTTGTACAGTCACCATCCTTAGAGGTGCTCTGAGCAAACTGGCCTTCCACTCTGAATAACTCTATCGTTTTGTGACTTTCTTCCATACCATTATTTGGCTCTAATTAACACTTCATTCATGTTTTCCACATTATAAAAATGAGATTTAAAAAAAGTATATATGTTTGCTTATTTTTCTTTTCATCATACATACCCAACTATACTATTGCCCTTGAACAGCAATACAGATACTCGGTAACAGAACTTTATTATTTTTTTTAATCTTCCTTTAGTTCAGGAGGGTGTTGGTGCTAGCATTCTCGTGGATCTTATGCTCAAGCACTTCATTTTGGATATTTCCAACATTTTCTTCATTATCACTGAACATTAGAAGCAATGTTTTTTTTCAGGATTTTAAAATTTTTCATGGAAGCAATTAGTCTGAAGAAGGAAAATGAGACCATTATTACACGCAGTTAAGCTCCTTCATTTGCTAAGTTTCAGTTCAGCAACAGTGAGATACCAAGAATCTACGGGAAGCTTCCTGACAACGCGTTCCTCATCAGGAGCTGATGTACTCTAATCCTGAAATTCCAGATGCATGTCCTACATAGGAACTTGTCTATGTTCTTTTCTGGACTTTATTCATTCTTCAATAGGATAATGGAGAAGAAATTTACTGAAGTAACTAATAGTTTTCCTCTCAGAACTCCACTGTTATGGGAATCAAGAGCAGCCAAGAAGAAAACCTAAGTTTCCTTACTTTGATTATCTCAGTAAAGCAAATAGTATGTCCCACCAAGAGACACGAATGCATCTGCATGCTGAAACTGTGCTTTTTACATAAAAAATTATTTATTCTCAGAATAGATGTGCAAGTGAAAAAATGATCCAGGTCCTGTCTTCTGCTCCAATCTAAGAGAACAGATGAAGCATGAGAGACTATAGCTACTGATTTGTTCCACTGCTTGCAGAGAAACAGCTCATTTCTTTCCGTATTATGCAAAAGACCAGAAGTGATGGGAGGAAGCAGAGCCATGTTACCGTCTCCCGACAAGTTCAGAGGTGTAACTGATCACTGGACTGGGAAATGTTTGAGGTGATACATACAATATTTCCTAGGCAAGTAAAACACCAGAAGAGAAAGAGCTGTTTGAAGAAATACGCTCTTCTTTCTGGCTAGCCAAGAAAAGGGGTGGAAGTGCTCATAGCTATCAGAATCAATTAAGAATCAAGAAACTGAGAAATAAAGCTAGTCGAGTTAAGAAAAACATTTTACCATCATGCTTCAGCCACTCATTCTGTAGGTAACATTTTTTTGAAACAAAATACATACAGTCAAGTTAAATATGGCAATGTTGCTTAAAAGTGGGGATGCACCCTTTTCCAAATACTCGAAAATTCCAAAGTTCCATTAGCATTTAATGAAATCCAAACCTCTCAGCTTAAAAAATCTCAGGTGACTCTTTCGCTTCCATTCAAATGATTATAAAATGTTAAACTTCTTAATTCTTCAACTGTAAGTTGTTCTGAAAAATGCAGTAACGCTACAGAAAATAACAGCATAAATGAGTAATAAATTATTCAAATATGAAGGCTGCCATTCTATTGTCTACACGGAATAGTAATAGTAAAAAAAATAATCTCATAGATGTTAATATTGATTTATTAGATTTCAAATCACTGTCAAAAATATGCATCAAAAATGTAGCACAGAGGATCATTAAAATATTAAAAGAATGAAAATGAGAGAAAACTGAAGATTCATTCAATTCAATCCTATTGAATTTGAACTATTTTACATCTTTATTGAAACTTGTCTAATTAGAATAAATAAAAATATAATAGCAAAGATTAATAATTGTAAAAATTTCATTATTAGTAGGAGTTGTGGACCTGTGGGGGAAAAAAACACATTTTGGCAATATGAAATACTATTATATGAATAAAACAGAAAATATGACTTGTAGACACACAAATTCAACAAAGTGTAATAATTTCTACTGCAAGGACTACTGGCAATCTCTATTATGAATATGTGTATTACATATTGCCCGGTGGGAGACAGATAGGCAAAGTCTGTTTACTTATGTATTTGGCATAATGGAAAATAAACAGGTGTTTGTTAGTATATCATTATTCAAGGAGCACCACTGCAAAATAGATTTTTCAAAGGAATTGACTCATGAGAAATAATGTAAACAGTGAAGTCTAGATCTCAGCTAGCTCTACAACGGCTATGCAGGGATTTAATAATAGTGGCAATACTGTAAGATGTAAACAGCAGCCCCAAAAATAAATTTGCTAGGATATAATACAGTGAGTTAATAGGAGCAACAAGGAAAACTTTAGATCCTAAACTTTATTTAGAGTATATTACAGAAAATAAAAAACACTGCCCCTCTCCTCCCATAGAAGCTCCCTAACATGAAAAGAATGAAATGATTGGATAGTTTTCTGTAAAATGAATCTCAGATGCCTGGGGTATTTCAATCAAAAAGGAATAACACTAAAAATTAAATATACTAAAGATATACTGTAGAGATGGCCGCTTTGGAACTCCTTTGTTCTTATTCCTGGTTCTAGTTAATAAAATAAGTTAATTGTTTTGTAAGTCTTTAGTGCCTTAAAAGAGCAGGATTGTATTTTGAATACAATTTTCATAAAGATTACATACCATAATGCTGCTAAATCAGACAGTTACTTACAGAGAACTGCTAAGAACACACAGCAAATACTGATCTTCGACCTAATTCAGCAAACAACAGGGAAGAAGAAACTTCTGTATTGCAACAAGCAAAAGATGTTCTTTTTGACTGTTAATCAGCAATTCTTGCTTCCATGGATAATTTAAAAGGTCACTACCTGAAGAACAGTGATTTCCTCATCTTTGGCTACTTGCACTGTTTCATCTATTAATGAGCACAATTGTTCCTATGTCACATGGCTAGACACCTGTTCATCTGACAAGATTTTGGAATGGGCATCAGTGGTACAACTGATACAACAAAAACATTCTCAGGATTTGGATCTATGTCTGCATCAGAATTTTAGAGAAGACATTGATACTCCAAAATTTTGAACATAAATATTGGCTGATGGCAGCCAGTATTGTCTCACCTTCTCTTCATTATTTTTCTTATGGCACATTATCCAAAATAACCATTGCACAGTCTTCTTCCTTCACTCCCCCCTCCCACTCAAAAGAAAACATCATATTTATTTTTATTTCTTGACACAGGCAAGCACTGGCATATTATGAGACTTTATTAAACCAAAGTTGTGGCCAAGTAAGAAAAAGCAACACAACTTCATCTTCTGCAGAAAATACAGAATGAACAACAGTCCTGGATTAAAAAAAAAAAGTAACAATTAAAAAAATAATCACTGTTAATGTAGAACTTTTGAACATTTCTGTAGAACAGTAGAACAGTCCAATATTGGGGCTTTTCTTTCTTCATTTTTTTTTTGCTCCCACAAAATATTCTTTTAGGACAAGGATGCAAGTAAAAACATTGAATGATCCTTTAACATTACTTACTTACAAATGTTCACAAATACCACATTTACCTTAACAAGAACTAGTCGGAAAATTTACAGTATAATGGGGCTTAATTCATAATAATGTCCTTTGTCACAAAACAGGAAAAAAATAACAGCCGTTAACACTAGCTTACTTGTGGATGTGTATACTAGTGAACTGGGGGCACTGTACACGGGAGATCCCTCCTGGTTTGCCTGGCACAGCAGCACCCTGCCTACAAGAGAGAGAGAGAAAGTGGTATCTGGTTTTGGAACACTCAAACTAAACCTCAGTTTTATCTCAAAACAGAAATAAAGCCATAACTGAAGCAGTGCAGTGAAGCAGAGGCCCTTATAGTCCTTTAATTTCACCAAACAGAAAGAGCCCCAGTAAGCATGTACAATTTTACATTGGAAAAAGCAAAACACAGACATCCCCCCCCAAATCCAAATGCCCTCTTTATCACATAGGGAAACTGGCGCAGGCTGTGTTTGTTAGCAGCACGCCCAGGTACCTCACCCTGCTGCAGCTGCTCTCTCCCTCTCTGCCCTGCAACTCCAAAGCCTCAGGAGCCCTGCTGTGAGCTTCTGCAAAGCTCCCCCACCAACCCCTGCTTCTCATCCCCAAACTCTGGCTGAGATGAGAGGCTATCGAGCAAACAGATAAATCAGACTGCAAAGCTCATATGTACAGACCAAGCATGATCTCAGTTATATTACTTAAACTAGCACTGGTGTGAGAGAAACCAAAATATGACTATGCATGTAAAGATTTCAGTGTTCTTTGCATGAATGAGAAATACTTAAACATATTCTGTGTTCCACTATACAGGTGGATTGAGGATTAAGAACAAAACAGAAGAAAGAAAACCATCAAAAAACGAAGAAAAAAAAAGTAAAAATAATAAACAAATCAATTTGAAACAGCTCTTCTTTGATGCATTTCCATTTTAAAGAAATCAACAAAGTTTAGAATTGTTTTGCGTTTGTTTTAATAAATTTAAATCAAATACCTTGCTATGTCAGCATCTTTCTCTGTGGTTATACCCCAGCATTCTTAGATGAATAAAGATTGTTTAATGTAATTCTCTATGGTAGGAAAAAAAACTCTCCACCTGCACACCTCCAGGAGGAGTAGGCTGTGATGCATCTGTTTTTTGCAGATACGTTTATATATATACATACACACAAACAATATACAGTGTATGAACATACACTGATGTACTTTAAGCTGCCAGAATGCGTGAAACACACAGTTCCAAATATATTAAATTTACCTGAAAATTTCAGAGACAATTAAGAGAAGTCATGTGTTGACTTGCAGGCAAAGTAACTCAATAAATCAGAAGTGGCTGATCCAACAATAGCAACCCTCAAACTACATGCAGTTACCAAACCTGATTTATTTCAAAAACAAGTTTGCAAATACTTTTCTATCATTAACTTTTTTTTTTTTTTTTTAACTGTCACTTGCAGCTGTTAAATGAGCTGGAAAATACGCAAAACACTGAAAAGAAATAAAATTCTGGTAATTGCAACAACATAGCTAAGTGCGAGAGCACTGGAAATCTCATGAAACTTTGTGCTTTCAAATTCTCAGACCATAGTACAAACTTCATTACTGGGCTTTGGAGATACTTGCTTTTTTTTTTTTTTTTTTTTCTTCTGCTATTTTTTTTCAGCCATTCAGTACTAGTCTTAAATGCAAAACAAGGCCTTCTGTTTGTTCTGTCTTATGTGTGGAAGCCGCGAAATAAAGGAACGTACACCTGTAGAGATCAGAGATTCCAATAGCAATCCCAATTTTCAGACTGGCAGATGACCAACAGTAGGAAACACAGGAATATGGATGTATTTAACACCATATAGATGCTTCTACAGAGGCCTGAAAATATGAACTGAAGGTATAAATGAGTTCATCCAGCTGAGTGAAACGAAAAAAACATCAAAAACAGTAATTTTCATAAAAGTAATTTAAGTATCATGACTTCAAGTATACTTAGCAAGTACAGAATGCTAATGGTTTTCAAAAATTGAGGATTATATTTCATGTATCTTATCCAACAAATTAAAACTTTGCTTTTTCTACGGTGTGCAATTAGAGATGTTATTATTCTTTGCAGTTAACATTCTTATTAAAATTTCTCTGTTGCAATCACATGAGAGTCTAAATTTCCTTTCTCTGGGTTCATTTATAATGAAATGCTTTAAAATGGGTGCTTTTTTCATCCATGCTACCAGATTTTGTAATTTTATTTGGACATTCTCCATTTGAATTTGTGCATAAAATTATCAGTTAAGTCACCATTATTAGATATTTTGGAAAAAAAAATTGAAACTTTTAATCTAATTTTGTGAGAAAAATTGACTTCTGCTTCTCATTTTTTGTATTAAAAATACTTAAATTTTTAATAGTAGAACAGGGTGAAGATGGAACTATTTTCAATAAAACACTTCTGTGAAAACCTCAGAACATGAAAACAATCAGTGAGTTCCCTGATGAAAAAAAAAAAATGTTTTCTTTTTCCTCTAGAGTACTGAAAATTCTACCGTGATAGAATGAAGATTATTTTTTAAGAAAGAGGATTTGAACATAAAGTTATTAATATTTCTTTCCAAACTATAATTTAATAATATTGTGGAGCTGATGAACTTCAAAAAAAATTACAGTCATGCAAGAGTTCATTCGTAATTCTGCAGTCCCTTCTGTAGCAGCATACTTCGAGCTGATACTTTCTCATTAAGAAGCATCTGAACTGCTTTTTCACTTCTTTCTATTATGAGCATTTACATATTTGGTCACATGTGACTAGTGCTATGGGATTTTGGAAATCATCAGCTGAAAGCCTCTCCTGACTCTCTCAAAAGGCTCAGAAAAAAAAAAAAAAAGCATACATATTTGAAGAGTGTATTCACTAGAGGCATACTGTGGCTCAGAGGAGAGCTTTGGCAGAGGAGACCTGTGGCAGAAAGGAAGCTGGGGCAGCCTAGCTGCTAGGTGTTACGGTAGGAGAGCAGCCTGTAGTGGCTGAGCCATGGGCTGTCCTGCACACAGCAGCAGGCAGCTGGGCTGCAGCAGGGCACGTTGGCAGCACATGATAAAACTGCAAATAACCCCCCAGGACAGGTGCATCACTCATCCTTGGCTTAATGGCAGGCAGCAAGCACAAAAATGTACTTCCCAAGCTCACTCTTCAATGTTTTCTCATACAGCTCAACGTTAAGAACATACAGTTTGATTAGGTCCTTTGGTTTAAGAATTATAGTTATTTTGAGGAAATAATTACTCTCAAAATATTCAGGGCAGTGAGAAAAATTATTTGAAATTATTAATATTTTCAAGATCCTAAAAATTCAGTTCCAAATCATTCGAAGATATGGAACTAGAAGTATTTTTCTCGTTTTTCCATAGTTTCAAAAGTAAGTTTTTTTGTGTAGTTCCTATTCTCGTGACTTACACAAATTTATCTGTAGAGCATAAGCAGAAATGTAAATATAATAACCCACAGACTAGTTCCTCATATGAGGACTATTGCAAAGTTCATGGTATTTTGTGAACACTCGGGTAGCTCAGGAGTAATCAGACTGACCAGGAATCCATCAACAATGGAAGGACTTCTCAGAAATTTATAAGGGATCAGTTCTGCAAAAAAATAGTTTCTTGGTCAGACTGGAACCACTTTGTAACCAGCAGTACAGACAATTTAAAAGTAAAATCTGGAATAAGCTTATAAGAGTTTGCACAATTGGCTGGAATCTGGCATCCTTTGAGGAAGTATAAATTGGAACAACATTTTTAGAAGAAAAATTCAAATCATTTTTTTTAAAAATACGGTGCTGAAGCAAACAAAATCGATAACATAGCAAGACCTTGACTGTGGGAATAGCTGTCTTTTGTCACATAAAGAAGATGGAACTTTCAGAAACCTTCACTAACAATTGTATAAAGTTCATAAACAGTTACCAAGAACCCAAGGTCACAGTACATCAGCTCCCACTACCTTTATTTAGTACATCCGCTACCAGGCAAAAAGCTTCCTGTTTACAGTGCTGTTATTTACTCTACAAGAATCTTTAGAGAGTTACAAAAAAGAAGAGGACAGAATAGTACTCCATGACCATCCAGGGAAAAAACATGACATAAGTGCAAGAACACAAGCATTTTCAGTGGCAGAAATTAAGTCGATATTCAGGGCTGGTCTCCTCTGAGTATTAGAGGACAGGAAAGTAAAATGAGAACTTACAATACAAAAACTAAGGTTACTGCATACAAGGAGATTTTGTGAAGATTACACCACTCTTATCTGTTGCACACTCAGCACCCTTGATAAAGCAGCTCTTCATTATAAACATCTATTCTACTCTTACCAATAGGACTGTCTTCCTGCTTTTGGCAACCAAGCACCAGGTTGGTTGCTAAAATGTAAAAAAGAATATTTTATAATATTTTATCTGAGTTATCATAGATTGTTAATTTATAGCTCTAATATAAAAGCTGCATTGCTTTTTAAATTCAGCAATTTCTATTTCATTTTCCCTTTCTTCCAGTACAGCTGGGTGGTTTATAGATCAATTTAGTCCCTGTGCTAGTTCTCAGTCATTCTGGTCCCTGTTTTCCTTCTACTTTCTGCAATAAGTGGTTATTCCTATGCTCTCAACAATATCTATTATACCTCTACTTTTCATTTCTATGTACAACATCTGAAGAAACTATGAGGCTGTATCTCTCACAAACATGTCAGCATATTTGTTAGTTATCAGAGACCTCATAAACAAACCATGAAGCACCTGATTTGCTGTTTTAAAAGTATAATTAGGCCTTTCCAGCCACAAATAGAATTACTTTTGTGCTGCAAAGGAACACTGATCTTTAATGAGTTATTTCAAATACACCACAGAAATGGATAAAGAAGACCTAACTAAAAAGGCCACTGTTATACAATAATACTGAATGTTAGCATCCATTATCCCATCTGACAAGGGAGTTTGAAGAGCTTCATATACACTAGTTGGTAAGTGTTAGCTGGGCCCTTCATTATCAACAACTTCCATGGCATTAGTACACTTTTGAGAATGTTTACAAAAAAGTGCTTCTTGAATGTCATTGGTTACTAGTGAACTTTTTGTAAACAGAATACTCCTCCTTCAGATTACAACACGGCCATTCCTGGATGCCTGTATTGATTATTTAAATACTTCCATTTGCAGAAATTAACTAGGAACATTCAAGAATACT